TCAGGCTGGAAGCAGAAGGAAGATTCACTTATTTCAGCAGCCATAGGAGGGAGTGGGCGGGACTTGTCTCTTAAAGGGACAGGACAGACCATTACAGTAGTAGCTCTCGTGATCCACCACCTGTCAGTGATAGGATCCATCAGCTTGGGATGAAGCCAACCTCCATGAAAGTGGACTCCCATTGTGAATGGTATCATCGTGATTTCTTGGAGGGGCTTCTCTCAAAAGAACACAGTTGAAACTCTGATGAGTCCCTTCAGTGCTTGTATATACAGATTAAGATAAAGCCAAACAATGTCAATATCAAGCCATAAATAATTTTTTTATAAGTAAATTTTATTAAATTATAAAAGTTTCCATTTCCGCCCCCCCTCCCAACACCCTCCCACTCCCCCCACTCCCCCTCCTCCTCCCTCTTCGTCCCCCAGGGCAGTCAGGGTTTCCTGCCCTGTGGGAAGTTCCAGTTCCTTCCCCCTCCCTCCAGGTCCAGGAAGGTGAGTGTCCAAACAGACTGGGTCCCCAAAATCCAGTATATGTAGAGGAAACAGGTCCCAGTGTCATAGTCAATGCAAGCCATAAATAATTAAAGGAGAAATATAAAATTGCAATTCTAGTTATTAGGATGATTTAGGGCTAGGCACTCTTAGAGACATCCATTTGTTGTGAAAATTAAACTGGATGCTACTTTGTTGGATGGAAGAATTTTTGAAAACATTTTCAGGACTTTTGCTCATTAATTTTTGAGGGTGATATTTTAGCTTATCAACTTAAAAATTGTTCTGAGAGTAGAATTCCTTGTCATTCACTTTTATCTCATTACTGTGTTTTCCAGTTCATCTCTAGGCACAAATTCTACTTGACATCCTGTCTGATTATCCAGTGCTTCCCATGAAATAGCAATTAGAGAGAAAAAGGAAAGTAACATTTAGGATTCACAATTGTCACAGGAAAAATTAGCAACCACCACAGATACTACTCATTTGGCTACCCAATGTGTTAGATCTTTGCAGTTTCACTTCCAAGATTTTATTTTGTGTTCTGAAACCTCTAACATTTTTGCTTTCCATTTTTTTTCAACGCTATGCTCTTTAGACATGGTAAAAGTACTATTAAAACGTTTTTCATACTTGGCCTTGAAAATGGATGGGTAATCTTCATTATCATCTTGACTGCATTTGAAACTAAGTGGTGACACTGTCAGCATGTTTGTGAGAATGTTCCCAGAGAAGTTTCCAGAGGAGTGCAAAGTCACCCTCAAGTGTGGGTGACCTCAACTTATGCACTGGAGACAGTAAACAGAGTCCCAGCATTCATCTCTCTCTGCTTCACACTCTGGTTGTGGCAGGATGAGCTCATGATAGCTAGAGTGGTTCTTTTGTCCAGGTCTTCCCTGCCTTGATGGTCCATACCTTCAAATCAAGGCAAAATAAAACCTGTCTTTCTTAAGATGATTTGATAGAGCATTCTGTCATAGGAACAAAAGTACCTACCACAAACTTACCATGTTTTCTTCTTAAAAAAAGCTTTTACTTCAGCCCATAATGTAATCAATTGCCAGTCCATGTCCCTTCAAAGGTCAGATCATACTGCATGGCACATACAAGGGTCACTGGCAGTAAGATCACACAGTTTCAGTACAAACTTCTCCTTTGTTTTCCTAGTGCTTAGCTTCCCACACAGTCCTCTGTAAATTTGGAGGGGAAATGTGAAAAGTCTGATATCATTTATGTGATAAAAAAGAAAGAAAATCATCAACTGTCATACTGTTTGAAAAAGAACTTAAGGAATTATAGTTCTGGTGCATCATCTGAATGCATTCTCTTACTTATGAATAGCATCAAAAATGAATTAAAAACAAAAAAAATGAAATAATGCCCCCTGACATTTGCTTTAACAATGAAAATGCAATGTATTATTTCCCCAAAAAAGACTTCGGAGATTCTGAAAACAAATGTACAATTTTAAAAATGTATATTTTCTAGCCGTGTTGTCTCCCAGAAATTGCACCAGACCCAGAGTGGAGCCTGCATTTACCTCCAGATTATACCCCTGGCCTGTGGTAGGCTTCACATGGCTGCAGTAAAAACTGCAGTGTTGTTGGAGGCTGTTCATTCATTTCTCTGCCACCCAGACTCTCAAAATAATCACGCAAAAGTCTGTACTAATTAAAATACTGCTTGGCCCGTCACTTAAGTGTATTTCTAGCTAGCTCTAACATCTTAAATCAACCCATCTCTATTAATCTGTGCACACCACAAGGTTGTGGCCTACCAGCAAGTTTCCATCATCTATCTCCTCCCATGGTGGCTACATGGCATGTCTTTCTTGCTGCTGGATTCAGTTCCTGTTCCCCATTTATGCAGAGGACTGTGATCTGTGAGTCTACCCCTAAATAAATATCCATTATTATACTCAATTATGAGTTAATGTGGGATTATTTTGTAACTTCCATCTTAACTGCAGATGCAGGTTGGGGACTCTCAGTAAGGTCCATGGGCCTGTAGCACAGTTCATAGTGAAGGTTACAGAACCAGGAGGAAACCATGTGATCAGACCAGATTCTCTGAATGTGACTGACAATGAGAAGTCAATGATAATGGCACTGGATTTTGATTCTACTGCATGTACTGGCTTTTTGGGAGCCTAGTCTGTTTGGATGCTCACCTTCCTAGACCTGGATGGAGGGGGGAGGGCCTTGGACTTCCCACAGGGCAGGGCACCCTGACTTCTCTTAGGACTGGAGAGGGAGGGAGAGGGGAAGTAAGTGGGGGAGTGGGAGGAAAATGGAAGGAGGGGAGGAGGTGGAAATTTTTAATAAATAAATAAATAAAATTTTAAAGAAAGAGATAGATACTCTCTGTGGTCCTAAATACCAGTCTCATAGAAAGGACACTTCAACTCTGCTAAGATGTAGTCTTCTATTGAACACCACCTCTGAAAAATAAAAGGGGACTTAAATTTTAGAAATAAGAAATATCAAAGAAACAAGGAAAAACTCAACCAATGAACTAACTCCAAGTACAGAGACCTCAGTAAAGAAAGGAAGCAACATGAAACAAACAAGACAACATGTATTATCCATAAATAATTAACCTCTAATAATTGTATCTAATGAAAATTATCAGGAAGAAATTCCAGACAATGAATCAAAAGATGTTTATGAGTCTGTTCAAACACTTAAAAAAATAGGAGAGACTGCTTCAAGGGAACAAAAATGGATAACTGAAATAAGGAAGTCAGCCAAATAGTGAAAAGAGACTCAACATGGCTGAACAAAGCCCAGGTTGGAGTGGCAGTGGAAATGAAAAACTCAATGAGCTGAGTAGAAATCCGGGTTCCAAACCTCACCACTAGAATGAGTCATGCAGGAGAGAGAAGAATTCTATTGCTCATAAAAGTTAGTAATAACTTTAAAAAATATAAACAGAAAGTGTATGTTTCTAACCTACACTGATCTACACAGGCTACTGGAAGGAATACATTGGTTGAAGACAAGAATAAAAACATGCATGTGGCCAATGGGAGTAAACAATACAGAATATTGACCAAAAGAAGCCTAAGAAAACACCTCGGAAACTGCAAAATGATGAAGCGCCACATTGATTTCAATAGTGCACCAGTTTGCACTCCCATAAGCAGTAAATAAACATCCCCCTTATCCCCACATCCTCATTGGCAACTGCTGTCATTTGTTCTCTTCTTAATGGCTAATAATATTACACGGTGTAAATGTACTGCCTCTTCATTATGCATTCACCAGCTGATATATAGGCGGTTTTCGTTCCCTGGCTATTGTAAATATAGCAACAGTGAGCACGGGCGAGCAAGTCACTATAATAACAGTATGTAGAGTCCAAGGATAGAGAGCTCAGCAGGCAGGAGCACACGCTCTTGCAGAGGACTCCGCTTGTCTTGCATCCTTGTCAGCGTCTGCTGTCATTTGGTTTTTGATCTTGGCCATACTGTACAGGGCAAGATGAAACAGTGTTTGCAACTGATGACTCGTTCTCTCCTGTTTTATCATTTGAGAACTCTCTGTTTAGCCTATTTTAAAGTTGAGCTATTTGTTTCCTTGGTGTTTAGTTTTTTTATTTGCATATTCTCAATCTTAACGCGCCATCAGATTTATAGTTGGCAAATATTTTTTTCCCATGCTATGACTGCTGTTTCACTTGAATAATGGCATCTTTTGCTGTACAGACACTGTTTCAGGAGGTTCTTGTGGTCCCATTTGTCAGTTGTTGGATCTTAGTGCCTCTGTTTCTGGCCGTACATTCAACCCCCATTTTCTCTTCTCAGATTCTGGGTGTCATGTTTTAGGTTGAGGTCCTTGATCTGGATTTCTAACATGGGTCCTGGTTTGGGGTCCATGCATTTCTGGGGCCCAGCATTGGGTGGGGTGTTTGTCAGGCATGAGGTGAAGTAGCACCTGGAGTTCTAGCCTTTATGAGGTCATAGGTTGGGCTCTGTTTAGCCCTGGGGCCCAGCTGAGTAGGATGGTTCATAGTCTGGTGGGAGGTGGCCTCTTCTTAAAACACTAATAGCAGCTCCTAGAGTATGTGTATTTGCCCTAATGGGCTGACTAAGTTCCTGTTCTCTTCCCTTAGTCGTATATACACAGCTTCAGCTGAAATGCCAGAGGAAGCTGGTATTTTTAACCCATTCATTTGGATACATTGGTAATTGTTTCTGCATTAGCTCATTACATTTTCATACAAGCATGACATTCTATGATAGTCACATAAAATTATATAAAAATATAAAAGCTTTTAAAAGTAGAGTCCTACTTTTCTGTGATTATTTCACACGGCAAAAAAAATAATTCAATTCAGGAAGCCTAAAATAGAGTAATAGAGAATATTGACGGTTCAACAAGCAATGTAGTGTGTCACAAAAGGCCTAGGGATGAACAGAACCCCGTTCTTAGTGACATCACTGTATCCAGCTAACAAAGTATTGCACCTTCCTCGTTTGTAGAATGAGGAAAATCATACATAGCACCAGGGGCTGCTATCAGCATGAAAAGAAGAATCTACCTGCCCACCAGAGTATGAGCGACCCAACCCAGCTGGACTGCAGGACTGAACAGCCTACCCCAGAACTTCATGGAGTCTAGTGCTCCGAGCAGGAATTCCAGAGCCACCCTCATGCCTGACAGTCAGTCACCTTACCCAATGCTGCCCCCTCCACCCCAAACACATGGAACTCAACCCAGGACCCTTGTCAGAGATCAAATTCAAGGACCTTAATCTAAAACATGACACCTCAAGACTGTTAGAAGAAGAAGTGGGGCATGGGCTTGAATGTATGGCCACTAGCACAGACACTAAGACCCAACAATTGACAAACTGGACCACAGGAACCTAACCAGCATCAATATAGCAAAAGCTGCCATCATTCAAGTGGGGAGGCAGTCTACAGAATGGCAGGAAGATCACCAACTACACATCTGATAGAGGTTTGAATCTAAGATCTAAGCAAAGCTCCCTCCAGAGCATCCTTCTCTCACACTTGCCTATGTGTATGAGTGCATGCCCCCATACCCCTTGCTTTGCCAACCCATTTCCTGCCGTCTCATTGACTATTGCATGTGCACTGTGCACCACTCCTCCATTTTTGCTGCATAAACATGGCTGTGGGTGAATCAGCAACCCTCCTCCATGTTTTAAAGCCTACTTTCTTGGTAACTGATGCTCCAGGTCTCCTGTTCAGAAAATAGGTAGGGCATATGGAGTTGGCCTTGACAATGTGAAGACAAGTTAGGTTTCTTACATTCTTAAATGATGGAAAAAGGTATCTTGGTCTGGACAGAACAGAAGTGAGGCTAGACCTTCTGAATGTCCTAAACTGTCTTCCAGTCTGTGCTGAGTTGCTCAGCTTCTTCCTGGCAGGTCAGAGTTGGCAGCTATAATTCATCTCTTAGTGCTTTGGAGCTTTTGAAAGTTTGATTGTTCAGAAGAACTCTTCACAGAGGGACTTCTTTGTGTAACTAGGGGAAAATTAACTTAATAAAAACAGCAACTACTTACTGAAAATCAGAGGAAAATGATTTAGCTGTACTACGGAGGGTTCAGTAAATATTCTGTGTCTTCCATCTTCTAGACTGTATTGGTTTTTTTGCCTCTGGAGATGATCATCACTAAAGCTGGCTCATTTTGAGGAAATGATCTTATTACTCTGATCATCTACTGCTTTTGTGCAGCTTGTTAATGTGAGATCTGAATTCTGTTTCTAGACCAGTTCCCATTTTACTTTTATGTTCCCATATGAGAGCCAAGTAATCTGATGTCACTTCCAGTAGTTTACTGGAAATTAGCTTTTGCTTTAGGCTTCTATTCTTTCACAAAAATCTCAGCCATCTTCAAAAGTCCAGTCTCAAATAAAATACACCAGATCTCTAGTTGGAAAATTGGCTGAATACTGTTCATGTCTTTTGTTGCTAAAATGATTGACATTTCATTCTTTAGAGCTGACTTTTCATTTGACTGCAGTAATGACACCACCTTCACTGGTATTTCTTTCTTTCTTTCTTCCTTCCTTCCTTCCTTCCTTCCTTCCTTCCTTCCTTCCTTCCTTTCTTTCTTTCTTTTTTGCCCCCCACCTCCTCCCCTCTTTTTTTTTTGAGATAGCGTCATGTGTTCAGGGTGTCTTGCAGGCTCTATGTAGCCAATGCCGGCCTTTAACTGATCTTCCCATTTCTCCTTCCCAGTACTGGGATTATTTGCTACCACATGTGCCCTACCGTTTCTATTAATTCTAGGATCATTACTTCATGACTCAGTTTAATAAACTCTTAAACTGTATTTCTTCTCATATTAGTTTGCTTGTTTATTATTTATCTGTCTATTTCCTGTGTGCAGGAGGGAGTGTGCACGCCACAGTGTGCATGTGGTGGTCCAATGACAACTTTCAGGAGTTGGTTCTCTCCTTCTGCCACGTGGGTCACGGGAAGTGAACTCACTTCATTGGACTGGGCTGCAAGTGCCTTAGCACACTTAGTTGCCGTCTCATTGGCCTTTGACCGAATATGCTTCTAACAAGGCTTTCCACCTGGTTTCTGTGCTTTTGTTTTTTGTGTTTTCGGTTTGGATGCCCTTAGCAAGTTTCTCTTCAGCTCTTACCATAACCGATTTCCATGCTAGGTCCTTGGAGTTCATCATGGAAGAAAATGAAGTTCGTTGCACTCTCACATTATTAGGTGTACACGAAGAAAAACAATAAACAGGACACCTTGGTGATCAGTGTGCTTCATTGATCATGGTGGAGAAAAGAGTCGAGAAAGGTAAGGAGCAACAGAAGCATTGGACTCTGATTGTGGGCTTGCGACCTTAGAACATAGTTCATGTGACCTTTAATGAGTGTCTATCTCAGCAAAACTTGGAAGAAGTGGGAGCGTCAGCTGTGTGCATATTTAGGGCTTAGTTTTCCCAATAGACAGTGGAAGACCAAGGCAGAACTCTTTAAGTAGGTGTGGCCTGATCTGTCTGATACAACCAGGAAGTCCTGCAGGCCCCCTGCTGTTCTTTGGCTTAAGAAAGGGCAAGAGCTGTGGGCATTCATTCAGGAGAGAGGTAAAGTGATCTGAGGCATGGCTCAGAAGAATGCCCTGAGGATGCTTTGTTGAAAATAAGCCATCAATCATCAGGCTTAGAAACAAGGGCTTTTCTTCTAGTTGACAGTCCTGTGATTGAGTGTTGTAGCAAGATGGTTACAAAAAGAGGCACATGTTGTGTCACCCAGCTCAACACCCTGTTCCTGGTGTCTTTGAAGTGGAGTGGAAAATGGAAAGAAGTCAGTGGTGACCTATTGAGGGTTTTTATTTTATAGATATTTTTTATTGATTTCATTGAGCTATATATTTTTCTTTTCTCCCCTCCCTTCCTCTCACCTCCCCTTCAACTCTCCCCCATTGTCCCCATGCTCCCAATTTACTCAGGAGATCTTGTCTTTTTCTACTTCCAACTGAGTTCTCACTGATGAACTAAAAAGACCCAGGTGCCCTCACTTGCTATGGGAAACGCACTGGGGCTACAGGTTCACAGAAGAACTGGGTTCAAGGCAGATTTGTCATTTTAGGATTTCCTTGGGAAATCCAACTATGGAAATTCAGAATGGAATTGAACACATGTCTGTTGTTGGCAAAGCCGTCAAATGTGAGAGCTCTTAACGTATCAGCAGTGTTCAATGCTTTGAGACCTTCAAGGTTATCAATTGACTGAGCACAGATAGATTAGGAAGTGCTAAGCTATAGAAAATCCTTTGAGTGTTGAGGGGAGAACATTCAAAAGAGCAGGATGTTTGACACAGGGGTCAGACCAGGGGAAAAGAAGCACACACAGTTTGGAATCATGATCATTGTACCTGGTAGTTGTGAAGATTTTGGTCATAACTGAAGGAGCAGTTACAGTGCTGTCTTAGGGTTTCTATGGCTGTGAGGAGACACCATGGCCACAGCTACTCTTATAAAGGAAAACATTTAGTTGGGTTGGCTTGCTTACAGTTTCAGGGGTTTTAGTTCATTATCACCATGGTGGGAAGCAAGGCAGCATGCAGACAGATTCGATGCCAAAGAAGGAGCTGACAGTTCTTACATCTTGATAGGCAGACAACAGGAAGTGGTCTGATATACGGGACATGGTTTGAGCGAATAAAAGACCTCAAATCCTCCACAGTGACACACTTCTTCTAGCAAGGCCATAACTACTCCAACAAAGCCACGCCTCCTAACAGTGCTACTCCCTATGAGTTTATGGGGGCCAAGCACATTCAAACTACCAGAAGTGCAGAAGTGGGATTTACATTTCACTGGGACCACATTGGGAGACAATAGACAGGACAACAGGCTGCAAGGTACACTGAGGGGTCACTCAAGTGCTGATCTCCTATTCTCTATCAATCTACACGTGTGTGTGTGTGTGTGTGTGTGTGTGTGTGTGTGTGTGTGTGTATGTGTGTATCCCAGACAGGTATGTAAAGTTAAATAGTTTCTCAAAAAGTCTACTAAAGCAAACCAAATCAATTCCATCCTTTTCTTCCTATATTTTCTGAACATTATCATCTCATAGAAACTGGGTTTCTTTCTATGGCTCCTTAATATGCATCTCAAAACTCAGACTTACAAGCCAGGCTTCAAGTACCTAACCTTCATTCACAAAACACACCAATTTAACTCAAGTGAAAGTGTAAGGTTACGAAAGTTTGGAATTGTTGTTTCAGGAAGGATGGGCTAGAGAATGAACAGGGAGGGCAGAAAGAAAATAAAAGGGAACAGAGATTCTTATGTCTTTAAAATTTTATAATTATTAATGAAAAACAAACACATAAGTTAATGGATTTCCCTGTAATGTATTGATGCATAATTATGTTATGCTAATTCCATTAAACCAGCTCTGAAAAATGGAAATTAAGGGATCTCTTTCAAACCCTTTCTACAAGGTCGCTATCCTGATCTGAAGCCAACTAAAGACACAATAGAAAAAGCAAATCATAGATGTTTGCCCTGATAAATACATGCACAAAAATTCTGAAACATATACTAGCCAATAGAATTAACCACCCAACAAAAAGATTATACCCCATTATCAAGTTTTTTTTTAAAAAAAACAATTAGAAAGCAGGTGAACACCTCAAGACATAGGAATATGCCAGACCCCTCAAAGCACAGGTTACAAAAGCAGAAACAAAGATTGGTCTATCCACATGGAAAGCTTCTACACAGCAAACAGAGTAGGCAGCTGCATAAAGACACTGCCTAAAGAATGAGAAGAAAATTTGCCTTCTATATCTGGCAAAGCTAAATATCCAGACTATATAAAAAGCTAAAAACCTCAACATACAAGCCCAAATAATTCACTTACAATGAACAGTGATCTCACTAGGTGCTCCCCAAAAGACATGATGCAAGTGGCCAATAAGTGTGTGAAAAAGCGCTCCATGCAGCTAGTCATGATGGAGATGCCAATGAAAGCTACAGCAGCATCTTACCCAAGTCAGATGGCCGTCGACAAAATACACAGCGAAACAAAAATGTGCTAACAAAGAAGTAGATAAGAGGGAACTTGTCCTCACAGTTGCGAGGATACAAATTAGTGCAGCCACTGTAAGAGTGAATATGGAGGCTCCCCAAAATACCAAAAACACCACGAGCATGTGATACAGCCTTCCCCACCTGGGCGTATTTCTAAAGGAGATGAAATAGCATATTAAAGAGATATGCACATTTCAGTGATTATTGTGACCTTATTCCTAATAACCAAGATATGTAATCAACTGAGGTAATTCTTGGCAGAAGAACAAAGAAAATGCAGAATTCATGCATAGCAGAATACTATTCAGCCGCAGAAAGAAAGAAATACCATCGTTTGTGGAAAAATAGATTGGAACTGATAGGCGACAAATTAAACAACTAAACCAGGGAAAGGAAAACAAATGCACCATGTTGCTATTCGGATGTGAAAGCTACAAAGGTAGCTTCATTGAAGGGAGAAGAACAGTGATTCTGGGAGCCCAGGAAGAAGAGATGGATGAGGGAAGGAATGGGTAATGGAATTTATGATATAGATGGAGAGCTCTGTGGCGCAGTGTGGTGCAGTAAGGATGAGCTAACATTAAGTTTTACTGTTTATTGAAGAGATGGTTAAGTGTCTGGGCTGGAAAGGCTAATCACCCTGACACTCTATGTATGTACTGAATATTACACAATATGCCATGCTATTATCATGCTAGTTACAAATAAAATTTAAAGTGTGTGTGATTTCGAGTGAAATACAGAAGACATTGTGATATTTACAGGAAATATGAATGTGTTGCTTGTAGTGGTACGTATGTGTGTGGGGGGGGCTGTACTTATCAGTGTAAGTATGCATATATGCACATGTGGGTGCATATGAGTATGGAGGCCCAAGATCAACATTGTTTGCCCATTCTTACTCTCCATCTCTATCTTTTGGGATAGGGTCTCTCTCTGAACCTGAAGTTCACAGATTTGTCTGCATCCGTTAGTCAATGAGTTTCAGGAATCTGCCTGTCTCTGCCCCTTTCATGCTGAGGACACAGGAGCCCACCCCACCCCTTGCCTTTTATGTGGCTTTCAGAACTCTGAGGGACTCACATCCTTGTGCTTGTGGACACTTAACCAGCTAAACCAGTTCCCACTCCAGTAATTATTATTAATTTTGAAAATTCAGTTTACGAATGAGGTACATTTAAATTTATAGCAAAATGTTAATGTTTTTTTTTCTCTAGTACAATTATGACCAAATCTGTTGCTACCTTTTCACTTTTGAAAAGTCCATGGTGATGTGAGCCACACAGTGAAGTATCTCACTGTGTTGTGTTAGATTTAGTATCAAACCGTAACTGTCGTTTGCAATGCAGCCCCTGACCAGACCTCGCTGCAGAGATCATTAGCTAAGCTGCTGAAATTTTCCACTTGACTTCATATTTGAGGCTCCTCTAGGTGTCTCTTGACAGTTAACACTTCATAATTATAAATGGTGATTATTAATTCGCTAACCCAGGGGCCAAATGTGACAGTTTCTACCTCAGAACAAAGCTCCCCTTCTGTCTCTTCAGTTGCAGCACTGAATGGCTGTATCTTTAGGAATTCTTTATTTGTTGCATCAAATATGTTTTTTTGTTTGGTTTCCTGCTGGCTAAGAACATTTTTTAAAGCCAAATGCATTGTGTTTACTCCTCAGTGAATGCATGAGATAGTATATGTGACACCCGTCTGAGTCGTGAAGCATGACACCAAAGTAGGCGTTAAACCCACTAGCGAACAGCAGCAGTCGGACGCAAGTGACGGGCTGGAACAGCCTGACTTCCTCCCAGATCTTATTTATATCTCAGTTGGATGTTTTGGGAAAGTTCAAATTTTCTACAGATTTAACACAGACATAAAGGCTTTCTTTTATTTATCCCACTTTCTCTGTGATGGGTTGTCAGGACATCCATGTCCCTCTCTCTGTCTCAGCTCTTCTAGGACCAACAATCAGAAAATCCTTCAGTGTGCTTTGATTAGTTACTGGAATATGACTGTCCATAGTAAGAAACCCTACACTAGCTCTACACTAGACAGACATCTGTATTTCCCAATGCCTGTGGCAGCACGTGATGAGATAGTGATTAGAAAAGTGAAGGCCAGCATGCAGGAGCTGATCAGCAGTATATCTGTGATTTGAACCAACAGTTCTGAGAGATGCTCTTTCTCTCTTCTCTTATGTATCTTGAATGTAACTGGGCAATATCAATTTAGATAAATGACATCTTATGTTAACACTTAAAATTCATGTTGTAAAGGTTAATGAGTATTGATTATTAGGTTAATCGATCATTTTATTTTTGGTGCAGTTTGTAATTAGCTTTTTGCAATATTGGAATTAATACTGCAAATTTCAAAACAATTTGTATTATTGATGATACAGAATTGTCCTGTGTGTTCATGCATACCCCTGCATCTATTATCTAACTGCATTCATTCATAACAAAAGTCAAATCCAAATTAAATTATCATATGTACTTAATCCAAATCTCAGCATGTTGACCAATGTGTGGTGCAACTTGTAGTATATCTATCTACTTATATTTAAAGCAATAATAATAATTATTATTGTGCTGATTTTTAGTGCCTGTGTACATTAGCCGTTGTATATCTCTATATCCTTAATCTTATTTAATTGCCTTTTATTCTTTTGAGATACAAATCAGGCAAACATTCTGCTGCCCAGCTGATGATGAAGAAACTAACCAGTAAAATCTTCCAGTAAAGAAAAGCACCCACATTTCAGGGCTAAGTCTCTGTGACCGGGAGAGGTGGGTTGGTTCCGAAGAGAGAGAGCCAGGGGCTGCTCCTGCTTCCTCTGTGCAGACAGGTGACAATGCGTAGTTTCTCTGTGTATACTTCGATGTTGCCTCAGCTGACATTTAAGATCTGCTCTCAGACTGGGATAGACCCCTCTCATAGCATGTCCAAGCCTCGAAGCTCAATTCCCAGCACAGGAAAAAAGATCTGATCTCACTTAAAATAATTTCATTGACATTTGCTCTTTCCCCACAAACTAACAGTAATACAATAAAAGTGGAAAATGGAAAGATGGGTGTGTCAGCTACCAGAAAATTGTGGTGAGATATTTCCCCATTTCCTGTCTACCAAAATTTTTACGACAGGCTAGGGATGAAATAATGTATGAACATTGGGGTTTTCTGGTCTAAATATGTGGGATGTTACATTGGTGGCCTTTAGGTTGCTGGTCCCAGAAGGCAAAGTATGCTTTTCGGTATCTCAACCAGACAGTCCCACTTCTACAATAAATTATAATGACAAAATCAAAAGACATATTTTGGTTCATGATACATATCCCATACACTCCTTGGAAGCAACTGATCAATTTACATTTGGAGGTAAAAGGACCCAGATAGAGCCTTTGGTCCTGCTGCTTTGTGAACAAATTCGAACACTTTTCTTTAGAAACAACCTGATAAACTGATGTTTTTGGTGACCATTCCTCAGTCAGTGCTCCCTATAGTGCTATAATTAAATTCTTAGTGATTATTTTGTGGGAAACCTTTATTCTTCTTCTTTGGGAATATTCTGATAACAAACACATATGTTTGTACTTCAAACTGCCTGACTTGATCAAATTTTCTTTATTCTATTTTTCCTTTTCTGATGCTGTACTAGGGAACTGTGATGAAAGTACGTCGCTGGAGCCTTGATAACCATGCTGCATTATTTCTGCAGCAAGTGGATGCTCTGCTTTGATTTCTAGTGGATGCAAATTCTATCCAGGAGGAATCTGTGAAGTCGATGGGCAGCGGGGTATATTTCTATCTCAAACCCATGAAGCAAAATACTGGGCTAAATCTGGGAACTAATGTGACTTTCTACGTTTAATTTGGGTTTGCCCTTTTGGTTTCGTATTACTGTATCACAACAGAATAGATTTAGTAGACAATAAAACATAAAAGAAGTAAGGAGCATAAAGCCAGTCAGGGGTATTAATTAAGACTCTCTACCATGTACAGTATTGGTTTTTAGACTGGTAGAACTATTGAAGGACAAAATAGTCTGCAGATCTTAAACAGGTGGTAGAATAACACTCAATTAGTAGGCTGATAATGAGCAGACTGGGATCCTGTATCCTTCCTTCCCTTCTCAGCAAACAGAAGAGAAGACACTCGCATGATGGAGTCAGCCTACTGCCCATGTTTCCTAACTGCACCAATGCCGTGGAATCTCCCTCCAGAAACATTTCAAGAAGACACACAGTGCAAGTGGAAGCTATGCACAAAAGCTATGTGATGCTTTTGAATCACGTTGTAACCTTCAGTCACCACAGACAGAAATTCCAGAGCCAACAGTCAGGTTAATGGCTATTTAAAGTCTCGGCTCAAGCATGCACATTTTATGGATTTATTTGTTTATTTATTTATCTGCCCATCTAGTTCTTTTCTTCCCCAGTCAGGTTAACATAACTGATCCACGGCCTGACAAGCATTCTTTCATTATTTTTCTCTTGCTCATGCATTACTTTTCAATTCCCTTCTCAACTAAAATGCTTATGTCCTCACTCCACGAGGTCAGTGCTCAGATGCTTTCAGCCTGTAAGGCAGACCCTAGACTCCAGGACACTTTTCTAGGAGGTGCTTTGTTGCTGCAGAGGAGAGGGTGTTGCAAACAGAAAATGATACCTGGATTCCCACTTACTAAAACCCATATGTCCTCTCTCTCCGATGCCATAGGCACGATGCTTCTCGTTTGTGTTAAGTTTAATTCCTGCAGTGTGCTTCGAGACAAACAGCTCTTCATACTGTCACTGTATGGGTCAATAGTGAATATTACAGTAAGGACAATTATAGACTAATTTTTCCATCCCCAGTAAGGTCAGGGTGATCTGATGAGGCAGACCTTAACCTTATTCACCTGAGCTGTGATTTTGTATCTATAATTAATTGTAGATTTTCTGAAGGATAGCTACAGGTTGCTTTTGCTACATTCCTATGGGCGGCTCAGTTAAGCCCAACTCATTTCCTCTTCCAATCAATCTCAGTGACTTCCTTTGTCCTGCCTGGAAGACCACCCAGTGGGCCAGGACACAGGTAGCACCAAGCAGTCACACTAAAGGAAGATTCAGTCCCAACTGTGAATAGATGGAGCATTGACGATTCCGGGGTGAGTCTCCCTGGGAAACCATTCCCAGAAATCAAGCTCATTTCTTATTTATGATTTGTAGTAGATGTATTTTCATCTATCTTATACATCAAACTCCATTGGGAAAATAAGCATAAGAGTCCTATTTCCAGAGGAGATTAAATAAAAATATGGGAGGTGGAGCATGCAGAAAAAGTCTATAAAGGGAGCCAGAAGTGTGGACCTGGTCAGGGCATGGCAATCAATCTGTACTCTAAGTATCACAATTGGGTAACATTGTCTCAATGTGTTCCCATTAGAGTCAGGGGCACAGACACAGTGTGCTTTCCCCATTGTGGTGTCGTCCCTGTGATTCTCTGTAGAACATTTATCCACTCTTAATATATTTAAAGTCCTCTAATGGGAGCAAGCTTACCCCCACATTTGCTCCCTCCGGCAGAGTACTGTCGTGTCTTCATTTCAGGCAGGTCAAGTTTCTTAAGCCCCCAATCTCCATCTCAGCCCTTACCCTACGCTCTCCCCTATCAAGATACAAGTGTATTTGCTCTAGCCTAGAATTTCGGCCATGAGATCATCACAATGATCCTATACCAGTTCAGTTGGAGAACTCCAAACTTCACTGATAGTCAGCTGGACATCAGGGATCACTTGAATAACGACTGTCTCTGTGCAGAAATCTAGATTTTTCTTTTAAAGAGAATGAGGAAATACTATCCCCAGGCATAATTTGGAGCATAGAACAAGCTAGAAAGAGACGTTCTCAGCATGGGAAGCCCCTGAAGCCCCACAGTATGTACCAAACATCTCGAGAGCCTCATGGTGCAAGACTGGTCCACAACCAGTGGGTGTGCTAACACCCCAGACAGCTCTAGAAAAAACCATGTGAACGTGAAGGAAGAATCAGGACTTCAGGTGATGGCGAGATGTCTCAGTGGTTGGAAACACTGACTGCTTTTCCAGAGGACTGGGGTTCAATTCCCAGCACCCACATGGCATTTCACAGCTGCCCGTAACTCCAGTCCCAGGGTACCTGAAACCTTCACACAGATATATGTTCAGGCAAAACACGAATGCACATGAAAAATAACTTAAAAGGATTTTTTAAAAAAGAGTCAGAACCTTCTTCTGAACATCTGAGATGTTACCTGAAGAGGTGTAGAAAGAGAATAGTTTGGAAGGCTCGATGCTCTAGAGACAGAGTGTGCATATGCTTTTTATATCTATAATCTCTGGATCTCTCGGGGTCATTGCATGAACCAAGGAACAAGCACAGTTAAAAAACAAACCCCCTGGGTACTCCTATTGTTTTGAGCTCTATGTCTTACTCACCTTCTGATTTCTATTTTTTTTAAAAAAAAGTAAGATAATTTATAAAGTGAAAAAGTTTCAAGTTGGCTGATAGTTTGGGAGGTTGTAGCACAGAACTGACTGGCCTCCTCGTGCTGGCCACGTGGTGAGGCAGCTCCTGCTGGGCAAAAACACTCGTCTTAGGACCTCAGGGAGTAAAAGAGAGAAATAGGAGTGAGCTTACAGTCCCACTGTCCCATCCGAGAGTGTACTCCTAATGACCGGAAGTCTTCCCACCAGGTCACATCTCCAGTTTTCCAGTAGCAGCACCCTGGAGAGCAAGTCTCCATGCACGGGCCTTTGAAGGACATTCAGGATCCAACTTCAGCAAGCTTTGTTGGTTGTATAAAACCTGACATTCATTTTTGTTTTAAAATAGAAGCATTGTGACACGGTGAAAACCCAGCCTTGGAACCACTCTCCATTGATTCAAGGTTCTACTGTGAAAATTACCTCCTGGGGGGGGGGGGGTCGTGAAAAACGTCTACCCCTTCTTCCTATGGGCCCAACCACAGACACACATATGATTCCAGCAAAGTTTACCCTGGGCCCCAAAGAGTTTATTAGGCTTCCTCGGAGCCTGAGTGAGGAGTTACAGGTTTATGAGAGTGACCACAAAGCAGTCACACTGGCAAGTGTTCACCCACCTTGGAGGACATCTTCCCTATGGGTGCCCAGAGGATGCACATTCTCCTTTTTGTTTTCAGTCTATATACTGCTGCCTCTGAATTCTATTGGACCAAACTGTGTACAGATGCCTGAGAAAAGTATCCACCCAGATACTCAGTTGAGGAACCAGTGACACAAAAGCTGGTGGTGATGTTGTGTGCAAGGAAGCACAGCCAACCTTGTGAATCTGGTGGCAGTTTGCCTCAGAGGACAGCACCTTGAAACAATTAGCTTCACCATTATACTCTGGTGTGTATTTGCACAGGAGTGCCTCCAGTGTTTCTTATGCTTATAATCAATATCTCAAACGTTTGAATTTTAATTCAGATGTCCCTCTGTGAAGCATCTTTGCCCGTGAGTTGGAGATGCTGTCAATTGGACCACACAGGAAAGTCTGCCACTAGTCCTCGGCCTAACACCGATTTTTATCTCTTTGATTTTTACAGTATACACAGATTAGAAAGCATAGATTTGGTTGCTTAGTGACCACACCTATAGTATTATTTTGGAGAAAAGCAACTATTCCCATCCCCAAGACATGACTATAAGAACACCAGCTATTTTATTATACCCTCCAGGACCCATTGTGTGTCTTCCTTCCATCGTATCATGTGCCAGCAGCACAGGGTCCCACACTTTAGCTGTTTGCAAACACTGTCCCAAAATGTGTTGTGATGTGAACTTTTGGAATGTTAAATGCTTGATCTTCAGCACTAATACTCCAGCTCAAAAAAGTAATCAGAACGTGAACAGAAAGCCCCCTGCATATGAAATGTGTAAATAATCATGGTCAACTCTAATATGAAATGCTGCACTTCTCGATGCAGTGGCCACTTTTCTGGAGGTTTCTGTGGACTGGATCTCTGATTAAGGGATCGAAAAGAATTTATTCTGTTTGGTCACGTATGCTTGGGGATCATTTGCCATAGGGGATTTCAGCATAGCTTGGGCAGTTTAGATTTGTCAGGGCACTTTCATCTTAATGGTGGACATTTCTCCTACCCCGGCTAAATTGCCTATGTGTACTATGAGGCTATCGCCTTGGAAAAATGCATGTGGTGAGAAATTCTGTCTTGGAGAAATGCATGTGACCCAAACCTCACTTTTTTCTCAGTAGCTGCTTCTTTTCCTTTTTGCTTTCTTTTATTTAAAGAGAAGTATCAGTATATTTAAACAGAAAGGATAATAGGTAAGCTTTTATTAAGTTGCTTGAAATTTCACTGGTGGGGATGGCTTACAGAATGATCGAGCATCTAGTTTTTAAACATTTTCCTTATAAATAGTGCAATCAAGCATCTGCAGTCCTGTGGGGGTGATGCATGAAACAGTTGAGAATATATTTAATAAGGCTCTGGCTTCTGTCACTACAGAAAGGACAAGTGTTGAATCTTGATAAATAACAGGAAAGAGACATTAGTAAACTTTTAATAAGGATGTCTTTCTTTTCCCTTTTTTTTTTTTTTGGTAAATTCATAGCGCCCACAATATAGAACATAGATTAGCATTTGACAAACCAAAAAGTAGCACATGACATTAAAAATAACAGGTTTAGACTTTTTCATATCAAAAGCCATAAACTGAAACTTAAACAGTAGAGACTTTCAATCAAAGCAATACACAGGAGAAGCAGCTGTTGCCAAAGCACATTGCTCAGGTGTGCCAGCGTGAGAAAGTCTGCAGGGTCCTAGTATTCCTAGTACGCACTCAGTCCCCACTTAATACCTGCCAGACAAGTCGCAGATGCCTCCCAGGGGGTAGAAGCAGATGATTTCTTTGAAGGTTTTCCTCAGTTCTTGACTCCGGAGGGCATAAATGAGGGGGTCAATGATGGCATTACACATGATCAGTATGAGATACAGGTTAAAATGAGACATGAAGCACACACAGTATGGATTCTGGGGGCAAGAGATATAGAACAGTAAGTGGAGGAAGAAAGGGGCCCAGCAGACCACGAAGACTCCAATCAGGATGGTCAGCGTAATTGCCCCCTTCATGTTGGCACCCTGGCGGATGGTACCAGTGCCGGGGAGGACAGCAATCCTCTTAATGTGGAGCCTCGCCATCAGGAACATGTGGACATAGAGAGAGGCCATGAGAACCAGCATGGTGAAGAACATGGTAATGAGGCAAATGATGACAGCGCTGCTGTCCGAGTAAATGATGAAGAGGATGCCTGACACCGTACAAGCTGCCCAGATACAACTTATGATGATTGCTACCCGCTTAACCGTCATAATGTTATGGTACTGGAGGGCGTAAAAGATAGTGAAATACCTGTCCACAGCAATGGAAAGCAGGCTGCAAATGGACGCGAGCAAGGAACTACAGATCACAGAGTCAATGACATTATCAATATTCACGGTGAAGCTCTGCGCGTCCGTGTCTGTGCTGTTTAACAGGGTGATGACGATGGTTTCCGACCCGTTTGAAACGCTCACCAACATATCTGCCACAGCCAGGCTACAGATGAAAAAGTACATGGGTGAGTGCAGGTTCTTGTTCTTGGCTATTGCCACGATCACTAGAATGTTCTCCAACAGGCTTATGACGCCCAGAGTCACAAACACCTCGGGGGACACAAAAAGTTGCTCGTAGCATCCTCCATCAGAGTACCCCTTCCCCAGGGACTCGCTGGCATTGCCGTGCAGCCCGTAGCTGCTGCGGTTCCAGAGGTGGAGGGAGGTATACATGCCATGGTGGTGGGTGGAGTTCATCTTCCTGCAGCAGCTGGATTCGAATTCTTGAATTGATCCAACCTCCTGGCCAGGGAAGCGCCGGTGATTTTCTCCCAGGCTCTATGTGTGTGTTTGTGGAAGTTGGGAGACTGCAGTTGGCGCCTGCTGTGAGCGCAGTCAGAAGCAGCCGCGGGGCTTGCAAAGGAGTTGTTGGTCTCTTCTGGACTCCGCTCTGCTCACCTCTTTAGACACCCGGGCTTCTGAATGTTCATTCTCAGTTGACCACTCCGACGTTTGCTTTTGTTCTCGCTGCCGTTTTCTTTTCAGCCTTATTCATTTAGAGTCTTTTCAGAGTCCTTTTCCTGAGAGTCGCTGTACAGCTGGGAGCCGCAGCTGCGTCCCCATCCTCACACCGGAGCCTCTCAGAAGTTCAGTTTCCAGCGGGAGCATCCCTGGGAGCCAGAGCAGCCTGGTGCTGGCTGCTGATTTCTCACGGTTTTATGGAGAGGGGAGACTGCTCTGAATGGCTCCGCCTCTGCTTCCTTCTGACCAATCCATGTTCAGTGGTTCTGAGACACCGATTCTGCACAAATAGCTTACGGGGGCAACTCAGTGGCCCAGGAAGGCGGGGTGAGAAACAAGCAGCATGTGAGACTCTGGATTTTCCTTTCCAAGTTGTAAGAAAAAAAATGACTTGATTGTTCGAGCACATTCTGTGATATCACTGAAATCATCGGGAATCGGCCCAGGCTCATTCTTGCTTCAGACATGTGTGCGTGAGGGTAAAATCAAACGAATAACACGCTGTCCTGCGCTCCTAAAGGAAACGCTGCCCCTCTGTCCAGGATCCCCCCCACCCATGAGTGAAGGTTCAGTTTACAAGACGCAAGCAGTACTTAGTAAGATAGGGAGATACGCTGTGGATAATTAGAGTTCAGCCAGGAGTTAACGCCGGGTTCACTTCTTGAACGCTAGTAGCAGTGTTTCTCCGCAGCCGCAGTTTCTGCAGTAACATCTGGAAAAGTTTCCATCTAAAGTATTTCAAAAGTTCAAGTGGCATTAATGAAAGCATACTGACTGCGAACAAATAAACAGTTCTGCATGATTGGGGGCGTAGTTGGATTTGTTTCTGTTGTTTGTTTTTTAACGGTAGCGTTCTGGTTGTTTGTCTGTTTGTTCTTCCACAGTTGGAAGTGTCCCCAACTGAAGCTGAAGCTGTAAGTACTCGGGCTAGGCACTTGCTCAGGCCAGGTCTGGTGAGTGTGTGCTTGTTCCCGACTGCTGCTTTGGAGAGATTGCAGGAAAGTCATGTGCTATTAATCAAACTCAAGGTTAGGACATTTCTAAGTAATTTTCTTGTTATGATTTTTTTGGGTTTTATCTATCAGTAGTTTGTAGTGATTGACCGTAAGATATAAACCAAGACAGAATTGTTCAGAGTGCTTCCTTAGTCCTTGCTCCTTAGCTTCGAGCTGCCCCCCTACTTTCTGTGTCAGAGACAATACTAAGCATTGCTTCCGAATATTTTGCTAAATTAGTGTCACCACACTGCTCTGGAACTGAGTAGGACATACTACTGAATTCTGGCTAATGAACAGTGTAGAAGCTGCTACACACTGGTCACCTTCCTCTTGATTCTGCTCTCTCTCCTTCTGGCAAATGGCTACCTAGTGTCTAGAAGCCTTGTATATAGCTGCTGGAACCTCATGTCTCCTCTGTAACTGTGCAGAATAGAACTGCCCTCTACATTCCTTCCATCTTGAACCGATCAGTTGCCATGCATGTGCTAAGAACAAGGGGCAGCTTTTGCTATTGTAAATTCCTAGGTCCACTGTTCAGCTGTTAACAGTAGCTGGTAATCAGTACTTCCAGACACTTTCCTAGAGCCATTGGGAAGCACTAGCATGGATTACATAGAAACCTACTTATTTTATTCTTCATGTTTCCTAGACAGTGAATTGTCTAACCAATAAGTAAGTGATACAGAAGAAAACCACCAAGTTGTTTGAACACCACATAGTTAACTGTATAATCCTTCTAAATAGCTCTTGCCTTCATGTTGCTTCTCTCCATTGCATTTAGTACACGGGGTTTTTCCATCTACCTCACAATGCCTACCGTGTTCAATTTATCAATCTGGGGGATGTACTTTTGGGGTCATAGGAGAGAAACTATTTCCTAACCCAGCATCATGAAGGTTTATATTGCTTTATTGAAATTGCCTGTGGTGGAATGTTACTCCTATAGGTGTGATATTAGAGGTCTTCATAGGAACTGAAGTGAATCCTAGTCCGGCGACTGATGGAGATACAGACAGAGACCCTCATCAGAGCAATGGACTGGGCTCCCAAGGCCCAGTTGAAAGGCAGAAGGAGGGAGAAGATGAGCATGGAAGTCAGGACCGCGAGGGGTTGGTCCACCAACTGAGGCAGTGTGCCTGCTCTAATGGGAGCTCACCAAATCCACCTGGACTGGGTCTGAATGTGCATGTGATCAAACCGGCCTCTCTGATTGTGGCTGTTCATGAGGGCTGACTGAGAAGCCATTGATAAAGGCACTGGGACTTGTTTTTACAGCATGTTCTGGCTTTTTGGGACCCTAGTCTATATGGATGCTTAACTCCCTAGGCCTGGATGTAGGGAGGAAGGCCTTGGACTTCTCACAGGGCAGGGTTTCCTGCCCTCTCTCAAGCAGGGTGGGAGAGGGAGGAAGTGGTATGGGGGAGTGGGAGGGGATTGGGAGGAGGGAAGGAAGTGTAAATAATTGAATGGAAAAATAAAACTAAAAAAATTTTTTTTAAAAAAGAATCTCATATAGAGGCTTTCCCCCAAGAATAACTTTTAGTGGTCATTTCCTTTTCTTCTATGTATGTCATACTGGACGTACTAAATAATATGCTACAGCTATTTTGGAAATTCTATTTCCACATTACCTGATGCTTATTGTAACTGTTGTTAGTTTTTTTTTTTTATCCTTGTTGCTTATCCAATGGCTTCTAGTCCATGTACCCAATGAATATCTGACTGTGATCTGATTAGTCAGGGTGACGGACTGAGGCAGTCACAGCAGGAGGTCTCCCAGTCCTGCATGTTGATCAAGCTGCAGTGTGCCGCCCCGCCATTGTACTTCACCAAGCCTTACTTTCTGCAGAAATCAAACACAGGGGAGAATTTAGGGCATTCTTGGATCTTTTATGACCTTCTGCACAGTTCTCCAAATAGCATGACTTTCTCCATTCTCAGCACTCGTTTTATCTCTCTTTATGGAGACCCAGTTCTCTCACTTCCCTTTAAAAGTTATGGACCCTTTTCATTTTGTACCCACTATGTCAAACAACCATGGGATTAACAGTTGTTTCTAGTGCCACTGGGGAAAAGTCTATTCTTAGAGGGCACATTCTGGGTCAAGAAAAAGCCTTGGAAGTTGGTTTCCCAAGGGGGGTCCACCAGACAGGTAAGATGAGTGGCTTCTCCTATGAAGGGGCTCGGTAGGCTTCTAAAGACTTTCAAGTCTGGCTACCCCCGACATTTCCCCAGAAGAGATGCTTTCTTCTGGCTCTTGATTTTCAAGGGTGTTAACCAAGCTGGCTAAATGCCAGGAAGTTCATTGTTTAAACTTGCTGTAATTTAATAATTTTCTTGAATAAATTCTCCCTGGATGGCTTGACACAGCGGTTAATTTTTTTCATGTTGTATGCATTCTAACACTAACGAATGTTGCTAGTGGTGTGGATTTAATTGGTGGTTTTCACTTGTCCTTGCTTTAGCATTTTACTACGATTATTCCTCATTTGTTGCCTTTTATCTTAAATAATTAAAAGAGATAAATCTCTATCAACCCTCTCTCTTAACAGATATTTTGATGAATGACTAAAAGATTTTGTATTTTTGCTACATCTTTTATAAAAGCTTTTCATATGAGAAATATAAAGTAATAAGAAGATAGCTGAAAGTTTGAATAAGATAATGTGAATTTTGAAATAACAAAGTACATTTTAGTAACAAATATCTGCAGACTCCATTATTTTCTTTTCATGAAAAAGGTTTTGTTTGGAAACATTGGGATTGAATGTAAATCTTATAAAAATCAAATACATATAAAATCTTAAATTTATTTATTAAGTATAAATTTAGATTTATAGTAAATTATAAATATTACATACCTCAAAGTGGACATTTTATTCATCATCTAATTTCCCTTTTTGCAGTGAGCCAGAACAATACAACAGACAATGTCAAAAACACCAAGATTATTTTGAAAACTTTATTGCAAATTTAAAAAAAAAAAGGAAGGAAAACTGCTGGGAGGTGGTGGCGCATGCCTTTAATCTCAGCACTTGGGAGACAGAGGCAGGTGGATCTCTGTGAGTTCGAGGCCAGCCTGGTCTACAGAGCAAGTTCCAGGACTGGCTCCATAGCAACTGAGAAAGCCTGTCTTGAAAAACCAAAACCAAACAAAACCAAAAAGAAAAAAAACCAGCAAAACTTAGGTTATAACTTATTAACTTATTTCTGTACTAGGAAGAATATAACAGTAAAAATAAAACATTTCCATAGAAAAATATTTACCCAACCACAGCATCCATCACCCCTATTTTTACATGATGTTTAAAGTTTTTTTCACCTCAAAGTAAAGGGTTCCCAAGTTCAGTCATTTCTGAAAGGTTGCAGACTCCCCTTTGGGCTGAAGTTCAGAGCTTGCACACACAGATAAAGTTTCTCAGCCCTCCTGCTGTAGAGAGCCGCTTAACTCCAGCTGGAACCGAGTGCCTCTCCTCACTTTGTCCCTCAGGTGTGCACTGTCACATTGTGTTCTGCTACTGCATTTGTCCCCAAATGTAAATTTATTCCAAGCTTGAGGGACGCCAGGGAACATTTTGGGCAGAAGGCAAATTTGATTGTATAAGATGTAGAAGACAGTACCCAGCTAACTGTGAGAACACCCAGACATCAGTGGTGACCACAGCTAGCATAGCCTGTGCCATGAGCTCAGTCAGCATGGATGGGCTGAGACCCGATGTGAGGTCTCAGGTGATCTTCCATTTACCCCTCCCCACCTCCACATCTTGACACTTTTCAAAAAGATTCTTTTCATTAAAGATTCTCCCATGAAGTATTTGTCTGGGAGCTGGGAGGCTAAGGTGCTTGAGTCCAGGCTCTTCAGTGAACTTAACTGTGTGATTCTGGGCAAGTCACTTAACTTCTCTGCGTTTTCAATTCTTTCTACTGTAAAGGATGCAATAACTACTTTACAGGGTTGTTATGTGAGTAATAAGAGGTGGTAATATCTTCAAGCCATTTAAGGTTCCTGAAGAAGCGGCTATATAAATATAAAACATTTATGAACCATTTATTTATAAAAGAAAATGTAAAAAAAAACAAAAATGGAAGTGTTTAATGAGCCCTGTTTGCACCACAACTTTAACTGTTCTTTATAAACACTGTGGGCCCATAACGGACCTGTGCAGCATCCCAGAGCACCTCTGGTGGCTCCCAGCAGCCTGTGGGACATGGGACTAGGAGCAATGTGGCAGTATAAATGAGAGTCTGAGACCTGGCCATGATGGCAGCTAGCTGAAGATCTTCAGGCACATTTTATTACTGTTCTGGAGCCAAACCAATAACAGAGTGGTAGACAAAAGAAAGAGAAATAGATTCAAGACGGTGTACAGTCAAACAGTAAAGAATCTAAAGGACAGAGAACAGTTAACAAGTCCCACCATTTAAACAGCGGAGGAGTTGCTGTCAGCCACTGTAATAAGATCAGCAATAAAAAAAAGTTAAAGGGAAGCTATTACTTGGCATTCATAAATTGAAGGCTGAGAGGAGTCAGGGAGTATGCATACATACAATGTTTGCCCAAGAACTTTTGAGCTTCTGGAAAAGTAATAAGGAACAAAGCTTTGTTCATTTAAAGCTCCCTGTCGAGCTGGGGATCTAGCTCAGTTTGCAGAGTTCTTGTCTAGCATGCATGAAGACCTGGGTTCAATCCCAGAACTGATTGAATGAATGCACTCCTATAATCCCAGCACTGGGGAGGTGAAGGCTGGAAGATCAAAAGTTTAAGGTTATCTTTAGCTAATAGCAAGTCCAAAGCCATCCTGGGTCACATAGATCCTTGCTGGTGAACGTAAATAGAGTAATCCCACACTAGCTCAGAATTGAGTACAATAAGAGATTATTTAGGGGGAACTCACAGATCACAGTCCTCTGCACGAATGCGGAACAAGAACCAACTCCAGCAGCCAGGTGAGAGAGGAGAGAGAG